AGTGATGATGTAGAAAGTTTGGTCTGGTACTGGATATTCCTTTACTATTATTTTCACTCTTGACAAGTAATTGATAAAATATCAAATGAATGTTCTCTTGAATTTGTATCAGGGAGACAGATTTAATTAATAAAGCATAAGAACTTCAAGCTACACCATAGGAATAAAACCTAAAATTTTTATTTTTGGTTTGCATCCTTAACGCAAACCGGACAATGAATGTTTCAGTTGATATTTGCTAAACATTATTATGTAATTAGTTAAAAAGTAGCATTAGTCTATCAAAAGTACAGGAGATGACCTTTTGTTTTCCTTTTGTTGCTGTTCTATTGTGACCTTTTTATTTCTTGTTTCCAAATAAAAAATAAGTAAAAATATTTTATTTGGGAAGTCGGAAAGATCTAGATTCACTTTTGACCTTGAGAAAATCACTTAACTACTCCTGCCCTCAGGTGATTCTCTAAGATAGTTGCAAAGAAGGTGCCAATTTGCACTGATAGAGAAAGTCTGCTACTGGCAGCCATTGATGAAATCACAAAGTTCAGTCCAAATAAAGTTAGAACAAAACTCTTATTTCACAACTTCTATCTGAAGAAAATAAAAAAGAATAATAGCTATTAATGACATTTAAAGGTTTGCTTGAGTTTTTGGTTCATCCTTCAAAAAGCTTTTTACAAAAGATACAATTTTTTTCTATCAAAACACTAGGAACAATTTTTTTCTATCAAAACACTAGGAAGAAAAGAAAATTTTTTCTTTAAAATATATTGAAATTATATTAGGGTCATAAATGTATTCAATTTTATTTCACCAAAAGCCCTAGGTGTAAAGATCTTAAAGCATTCATATTTACATTTTTCTAAGTCTATTAATACTTAGGGCAAATACTGTATTTTAGTGATAAGATTTTTTGATGTTTCAATTCTGTAGGGCTTTCAATGATTAAAAAAGAAAATTGTTGATTTAAGAAATCACTTTTTCTTTTCTTTTTTTTTTTAAAGGCAATTGTGGTTAAGTGACTTGCCCAGGGTCACACAGCTAGTAAGTAAGTATCAAGTTTTTGGGCTGAGGCCGGATTTGAACTCAGGTACTCCTGACTTCAGGGCTGGTGCTCTATCCACTGCACCACCTAGCTGCCCCCAAGAAATTACTTTTTCAACAGAAATATGATTCTATCCTACCTTATGTATTCTTAAAAAGAAGCTATTACTAACACCTAATAAAAAAATAAAACTAAAAAAAGATAAAATATAAAATTGTTGCTAGCTTTAAAATAACAGTCAAATTATCAAAAATCAATAGACCTATACTCTGATAATTTGTATAAAATATACCAAGCAAAACTGGATGCAAAGGGAAAATATTTTAACACTTGCAACTTTTCTGATTAGTAACTTCATAGATATTAGATTGGAAAAATATGTTTCACTGATTTTCCTAATAAGATTGTTGATTAGTTTTACACACTAAACACTTCTTATTAAACTTTGGTACAATCAACTATAAAAGAATTGAGGGAAATCCTCTTTGAAAACAGAAGAAGAGAAAAGTAGGCTTTCTCAACCAAAATTCAGCAGTTAGTTAGGGAACATGTTCTTAATATTTCATAATTAACTGGAAGATGAAGAGAACATAAGATCTTATTGTGCTCGCTATTTGTTGATTACAAAAAAAAGCATTTGATTCAGTAAGATTCTTTTTTACAACAAGGAATCTCAAAATCATTCTAGATTGCTTGGAAGAAGTAAGAGCAGAAATAACTATTCAAGGATCATTAACATCAGGTGAGGCATAAAACAGGGAGAGAGATGTTTGATTGCCAAAAATGTTCACCACTGATGAGAGCAATATAGTCTAGAGTCCAGGCTAAAGAAAGACTCTGTACGGAAGATGGTGGCATTCCCCAGAATCCTTTGTTTATGATGACATTGTGCTGATTGCATCAAGGCCTAGAATACTGCAGAGTCTCTTGGCACACATCTGTAACCCTCAAAGGAGTCTGGCCTGTTCATCCATACAATAAAGACCAAGTGGATGAAGAAATCAGATCAAAGAGCTGGAGGTGTTAAGTCAGGTTCAACTTAGAGTAACCTAGAGTAAAAGTTAAAGAGGTGTGCTATGGTCAGAGACAACTGGAATTTCATGAACTCACAGCTGGGTTTTTTTGCACCTCAGGGAGATCTGACTAGCTCCAGGTCTCTGGAAATCCTGGCCTCTCTCCCCTCACCTGTTTGGTTTCCCAAATCATATTTATTAGCTATTTGTAAAAGTTGGTTCCACTTGGTACAACTTTGTTTCTTTACACACACACACACACACACACACACACACAGACACACACACACACATACATGCGCGCCCGCGCACCCACCATCACCACCTATTGCCAGTGCCCTCCATCAAACTGCCAGTAATCACATATCTGCACCCACCCAAACTCTTCTTTGCTATTGGAGGGACCCACGTGTCTCAGCTCACTTGTGGAGCCATGATCTTCTCTCTCCTGAGCCCAGTGACTGATGACCATTTTCTTGGCTCAGATCACTACTTCTGTCCGCTTCCTAGGGTCCTTTCTGATGACTCACTCTAGGAGTGACTTCTCAGAATCACAGCTATTTATTTTCAGTAGAAAAACATTTTTCACAAAATGTAACCATAAAGGACAACTTCTGCCCAAAGTGAAAAAGTAACTGTTTGTGCTTCACTGCTGTGTTCTCTCACACCAGCACAATATATCCACGAAGACTACAATGCTTCCTCCTATAGGTTTTTTAATACAGCATACATTTTGCAAGGGCCCTGTTGTTTTGTTATTTTGATACACGCACGTTACCCTTTCCCTGTGGTCAGCTGAGGCAAAACCTCTTAAAGGCATGGGTGTGTGTGTGTGTATGTGTGTGTGTGTGTGTGTGTGTGTGTGTGTGTGTGTGTGTGTGTGTTTCAGACACAATAGGGGGAGAAGTGAAAACTAACATCCTATTCCACAGGTAGACCCAGGAGAAGAACCCAGGTGGGAGAGCAGATGTTGGTGGTAGATCAGAACAGGTGCAGCCTGAGCCTAAGAAATATCTCCAGTCAGGAGGAAGCATCTTCCTAGCCCTTTGTGGAATAATTCCATTAACACTAATTAAAACTACAGTAAAAATAGGAGGCCTCAGACCAAACACTTGATACTTACTAGCTGTGTGACCCTGGGCAAGTCACTTAACCCCAATTGCCTAAAAAAAAAAAGATGTCCATGAAGTAGGCAGTCTGGACAGTTATAATAGAGACAAGCCATAAAAGCGCTATGGGTATGTTTGTGGAGATTTTACATACTTCTGCTTTCAAAGCAATAAAATAAAGCTGAGTTCATAATCTACAACAAACAAGTATTCCTAAAATGAATCAAATCAATATACAATTATACAAATATGCAGACATAATATAGAAAGATCCAGAAGTTTCAATGTTCACAAATGAAAAGGGCTGAGCTTTGATGGAATGGGAGAGAAATGAGGGGCAGAGGGGGCAAGGGAGGAGGGTGAAAGAGATCCATCTAAACCTCTGAGAGAAGAAGGTTTGGTTTCTTTTATACAGCTATATCTACCTACATAGATACACACATCTATCTATCTATCTATCTATCCATCTGTCATCTATCTACCTCTCCATGCATATATAGATATATGTGTCCTAAATGTGCTAGAAAAGAATAGAATATTGTTGGGAAGATAAAAGATTGTTCTTAGAAAATTTTTTAGATATTGAAACATATCCTTTTTTCTAGGTTGTCATACTTTGTACTAACTCATGACTGCTTTCCTTATTTTATTTTGTGTATATACACATAAATAAAATTTTGCATATATATGTATGCATGTATGTACATGTACATATGTATGTGTAGTATATATATGTAGGTAGAGCTAGAGATAGAGGGATAGATAGATAGATAGATAAAAGAAAACAAACTCTCTTCTCTCAGATACACAAATATAAATATGGACACAGATATCTCAAATATCTAGAGTTCTCAGGATTATATATACATGTATATTATAAAAGGAAGGTTCTGGTTGGAAAGAAAACTGAAATTGTCTTTGTTTTCTGCATTTCCAAGTCGGTCCCATAGAAGGCCCTCACTGTGGTCCTAGAGCATTGTTTTTCATTAATTTCTATGACAAGGAACCCAAAGTGCATGAAGCTAAGAGCCACAAAACAAAATAAGGGAAGCAGTCATGACTTGGCACAAAGTGTGACAACCCAGAAAAAAGCAAACGTTTCAATATCTGAAGTGGGCTTGATTTTCTATGAACAACCTTTTCTCTCCCCAACAGTATCATATTCTTTTCCGCCACATTTAGGACGCAAGTCAAGCTGTGTCTTATTTTTTATTATAATAAACACAGTCAGTTGACTATAACAAAGACATATTAGTGCTGATCAGTTGAAAGCCAAAATACACCATCAGCTGGGGAGGGGGGAAGCAAGAAAAAAAAAAGTCAACTGATAAAATAAAGGACCAGCCGTCTGGAAAGCTCTATAAAAGGAGAATAAAAAGGGCAGTGTTCTTATGAGACTACCACAGGATGCCAAAATATCTAGCAATGGCGCTTCTGGGGCTGTCATTTCTGGAAACTTGTAGCTAAGACTAACAAACCCCTTATATTAGTGTGGTCTTATGCTTCATGCTTCTTGAATATCTTCAACAAAACATGCACCAAAAAAAAAAAATCTTGCGAGCCATATTTAAAATATGTAACACAAGGTTCTGAGTAAGATTCTTGTAAGGGTAAAATATCATAATGGCACAGAATGGTTTCTTTATGATTATGCTTTTAAAATATTTCCATAGTTTACCAAATTGTATATATTAGAGTATTTAGAATAGCAAGAATGAATATTTCTTGATAAAGAAATATGCAAATAAAATTCAAAACAAGAAAATGATGATTTTCAGTGTCATAGGCTAGAGCTGCAGGGGGGAGGAAAAAGGAAATAAAGGTAAAGACCCTTACCATGTCTTGAATTGCTCTTTTCTCTTGATCAAGCTCCTCACTTAATTTGTCTTTCAGTAAGGTTAGCTGAAATGAAAATGTATTAAATTCTGATTAAAGATAAGAATTTATTTAAAATTCTTTGTGTTCAATAGACTTCACTGAAATTAATTTTGCTCTAAATAATGTAAGGGAGTGGAGAGAACTCTTCAAATAATTTTGAATTCAGGAGGAATGACATGTTATATTAATAATGATAATAGCTAACATTTATATAGCACTTATTATGTGTGAGGCACTTTACAATTTACAATGTGCTTTACAATTATTATCACATTTGATCCTCACAACAACCCTGGGAGAGAGGTGCTATTATCTCCATTTTACAGATGAGGAAACTGAGGCAAACAGAAGTTAAGTGATCTGCCTAAAGTTGCAAAACAGGTGGATTTGAATTTGGATCTTCCTGACTCCAGGCCCAGCCCTCCATCCCCTATGACACTTAGCTAGCTGCAGTTATCTACCTCAGAGTCACTGTGAGGATCAAATGTGATAATTTACTAGTTATTATTACAGTATGTTGCTCTTATATACACATTCAAAATATTTTAAGAAAATCTAGTTAATTTGCAATTATTCCTGAAAATCTAGCACCTCATCTCCAGAGAATTGGCTACCAGGTGACAAGCAATTCATTTGACAAAGATCTGGGGATAAGTGGTTAGACGATATAAACAATGACCAAAAGAAGAAATGTAAACTGTTAACCACATAGAAAAAATCAGCTCTAACTCACTGATAATTAGAGAAATACAGGTTATATCATCAACTCCAAAGTTTCACCTGATGTCCGTCAATTGGCAAAGTTGACAAAACAGGGGAATGACAAATATTAACAAACGTTAATGCATTGTTAGTGGAGCTACACACTGGACCGCTATTTTGGGAAGCAATTTTAAACTATCCCAAGTAGACTCAAGTGTACAAAAATGTTCATAGCAGTTCTTTTTGTTATGACAAAGAACTGGAAGCTAAGAAGGAGCCCATCAATTAGGAAATGGCTGAATAAATTGTGGTGTATATATATACATATATATATGTACCATAATATTCACAACAGAACTTTTATGATAACAAAAAGCTGGAAACAAAGTCAGTTGAACAAATTACGGAATATGGATGTAATGGAATATTATGGCACCTGAAGAAACAACAAATATGAATTCAAAGAAACATGGGAAGACTTGGATGAACTGATGCAAAGTGAAGAAAGCAGGACAAGGAGAAAAATAAACACAACGACTACAGTATCTAAATGAAAGTAATACTAAACGGGAGTAGAACTCAGCCTATTCATGAATAAATGATGAACAAACTCTCCTCCTCTTGAGGAGAGGTGAGGAACTATGTCAACAGAATTATGTATATTTTGTCAGTCACTGCCATGATATTAACTGGTTATACTGAACTGTTTTTGTTTGCTTTTGTCAAATGAAGGTGTTCTGTGAGGAGAATTCACTTCTGCAGTATTATATTCAGTTTTGGTGACTATATTTTAGGAATAATATCAATAAGCTGGGTATCTAAAGGAGAACAACATTATGGTGAAGGGCACTGAGTTCACACTCTATGCATCTCAGTTGAAGTCATTTGGAAAGTTTAGTTGGAACATGATTACTGGCTCACAGTAGTTGAAGTTCTGTGGAAAAAGAATTAGTCTTGCCCTGTTTGGCCCAGTGGGCAAAACTAGGAATTGTGGATGGAAGGTACAAAAAGTCAAAATTTGGCTTCAAGTCAAGGAACTCACATTTTACCAGACTAAACAACATGTAGACAGAGAAAGTTAGGCAAGGGAGGGGTTGGGTGATCAAGGGACCCCTGCCCACTTGGGTCTCCCAATCTGCTCCACAAAAGTGACTCCTATCAATTCTCTGCTATACAAGCATATGCAAAATACATATAAAATAAATCTAAGGTAAGTGGGGGACAGGGTAACTAGCAGCTAGGGAATCAGGGGAAAAAAACATATATATGAGATAGTATTTGAGCTGAAATTTGGAGGAAAATACAGATTCCAAGAGGCAGAGGTGAAGAGGGAGTTCATTTCAGGCTCATGAGGACAACCTGTGTTTGAGACTGGAGAACTGGGAATGTTTAGACTGGAAAAGAGAAGACAAAGGGAATATGACAGTTGTCTTCAAGAATCAGAAGGGCTGGTGTTTTTTTTTTTTTGGCAAGAGGATCAGACTTGTTCTTTGTGACTGCAAGATAGAGAGATTTGGGCTGGGAAAGAATATTCTTACCTGATTTTGGAACAGGTTGAATGACTGGGCCCCAGTAGTGCTCATTAATGGATGGATGGATATCGACTTGGGCCTCCTCTTAAGCACTGGGTTCTCGAAAGAATATCCCAGTGGAGCAACAAAGCTTAGGCAGGTCCTACCAAGTTGAGAATCCTTCAGGCAAAGGCCCAGTGATGGACTCCCAAGCTAGTAAAATGGAGTCAGATCACAAGTACCTCACCTACTCTTTGGTAGAAACTTAAGCAATCACTCAGAGTAAGAGTAAAGTCTAAGGCATTGTGATTGCAACAATAATTCATTAGAAGTCTATGATGTGTATTGGAAGTAAATATTTTAGTAAAAGAAGTTTTGAGTAAGTTACTTCATAAGGACGGCCATCTGTTATACATGTACATAAGACTAGGCTAATGATAACAGATAACTGGCTCCACTGATAAAGAAACAGCAGGAGAACCAAAGCAAAATTTTCCTAAAGTCCAAGACTTCGAGTGAGGGAAGGAAAAAGTTACAGAAAATATCTTCAACCAGTAACTTGAGGATCTGAATGGAGGTTCTGGCTTCATAGATTTCTTCACTTTTCATGGCCCCAGGCGGCCACCCATGGAACTTTCCTAATAATCCCTAACTATGGAGTCATCTGTATTTGTAGGCCTTTTGCTCCTCTCAGTGTTATTCTGGATAAAAGGAACACAAACATAGAAATTACAATTCCATGATTACATTCCCCCTCCTCCTATGGTTCTTCACCGAATAAATACGACTATTTATCAAGCCTCCTTTCCTTTTCCACACAGAGCAGAAGGTGGGGGAGAAGATGGGGGAAGATTGAGGATTTCTCATGATTCAGAAATGGAATACTAATTACCCTATAAATTTCTACAGGAAATTGGCCGGATAAGATGACCATTTCTTTTGAAAATACTTCCGTAATGTTATTTCTCTTCAAAATAAGACATTGTTTTGCAAATTAAAGCCACCTGAAATTTAAACATTGACCTACTATTGGTTATTATTATGGCTTGGGTAAGCCAGGAAGTATCTTATCTGACTTTGATATCAGAGGAGTTGCCTACTGTTACGAGTACTAATTTTTCCCTAGAATAGGAATGAAAGTGTTAATTTTTATACCATGTACTATAAGCCTGGCTCACTTATATACAAGTGCTTTATTAAGTCAGTTCACGTTTATCTTGGAAAGGTGCCATAGATGGGTGATGAGCTGGGCCTATCATTAAGTAGGAGGAAGAGACCTGTCTGTTTTATATTTGGTACTCTATGTGCTGTTCTTTAATAAGGATATTCTCCAAGGGATGCTATATGGCAAAAAGAGACCACCATGCTGCCAGAAGAATCAAATAACCATTAACTCAAAGGGCAATGGGAACACATGCAGCAGGAGCAAGTAGACTATGGCACGTTACCAATTATGGCTGGCACACAAACAGCGAGGCCAACGCTATAATTGAAGACATGTATAACTGGAATAGGAGGTGGACCAGTCACGTAGTGAGGGATAGACTGAATGGCACATCGATGGCATCAAGATGTAAAAAAAAATAAGGGGGGGGGTGCGGCGGCTGCCAGCGAAAGGTTGAGTCCTCTATGAAACATCTATGAAAAGACAAAGATTAGAAATTCAACATGGAGGGACTGCAATCTGTATCAGTTCAAAGGATACCTACCTTGAAGAAACTGAGAATCCTTTAAAGGATCAAAATAAGTAAAAACCAACACATACCAACATCCTGATGGGTACAACAGACATAAAATGCAGATTCCTATCATTTTTCTCCCCATAATTCAAATACACCCATTAAAAATTTCATTCAGTCTTCTTTATGAACCTTTTAAACGGCTCACAATTAATCACAAGTTATCAAATTTGCAAAATAAGAAAAGGTTTCCAACAACTATACTTTTCAAAGAAGAATTGCAATTTAGGGGAAAATCCCTTCTCATCATTAGTCACCCAACAATAAGCAATGGGACAGATGAACATGTATTATGTCCATTTTCTTTTGCTTTGTATAACTACTTGGAAATTCTGCGGGTTCCCCAAGCATGCAGATATTTCAATTAAAAAGGGTCATTCATCAATGTCAAAAAGTTACAGTACCTTTTGAATCATTTTCTGATCATTCTCCATTCTTTGTTTCATAGCCGAAAGTTCACCTTCTGAAAACAAAAGAAGAAAAAAGCAGACCATGAAATTACATGCTTCTGTCCATGCATTCCAACTGTGTGCACTAGGTCAGTCTGTAAGCCAATGGAATGCACAGTGGACCAAAGTCCTAGCAGGACTGTGACCTTCACAATCGCCCTTGACCTTCCCAGCCTCCTTCCTGCTGTTCAGCCTGCTGGTCAGATGGAGATTAAGAAGTTACTTAAAGAGCCAAGTGTGCACGAGCCCACCACTTCTCCTCAGGACGAGCTGCGGACATCTCTGCTGTTAGTCACAGCCAATACGAAGTGTGTTAGCAGGTCATTCTTGATTACACCTGCTAAGCTTGAGAGCAAATGAGAAGTGAAAACGTGCAATCCCGACATTTTGGATGGTGGCGTATTTGAGCGATGCTGTCATACTGCTGACTTGGTAACTGATTTTATTTTCACACAGTTCAGCTTTTCACTGATCAACCTAGTGACAGCACTGGGGAGTTAACACAAGATCATTCATATCTGCAAATAATCAAAATACACTTATAAATGCACACGTGTTTAGTAATTTAGTTATAAGAGATTGTGACACCACAGTCTGTGATACAAATTCCCATTTATGCTTTAAAATGAACCCCAGAAAATGAAGTTAAGAAGCATGTTTCCTAAGATGCGTTCTGTTTCTGCACAAAGCATATTCAAACATTATCTGAACTTGTACACGTCCATAATATAGCTTTTGCATTATGTTTGCAATATGTAACTTCTGAATTACAGATTATTGAAAGTCCTTAACTGTTTACAGTTTTCTCTAAGCATACAAAACTTCAGATTAAGTTTCTTAAACGTTAGTCAAAAGGCAAGAATTAAACAGCTCTATCATGATGTCACCACGTTAAAATGGTAGAGTTCAGAAATGAGCAGCAAATGCCCTGACTCCCAGAAAAGAATGCTTAAAAAAAAAATAAAGTATTTTCCCCTGAAATAGATCATGGATCATCCACAAGAATGTTCCAAATTCCAAGCAGACCAAGCAAAAGGATTAGAAAAATGTGCAAGATTCATACATGGTAGCCTGTAATTGAAATCTTAGGGGAACTCAGACTGATTTGCACTCGTCAACCGGCTCACAGATCACTTCAAAATGTTACCTAAGAGTGTATTTGCCTTTTCACAGAGTTGAAGGTCCTCTTCAAGTTCCGCAGTGGCCTTATTCATTCTGTCATTTTCCCTTCTGAGGTCGCTAATCTCCTTTTCTAGTTGTGCTATTTTCTCATTGTGTTCTTCCTTTAAGGATTCCTAAAAGACCAGAAATTTCATATTTCTAAGCCAGGATTTAAATATGAGACACACAAGAGCCATAAATATACAGCAGCTCCAACATATCATTTTCTGAATTCTATTACACATTTATTTATCCTATGAATAGAGAAAATGAAAGAGCTTGCTGGAAGAAAGACTGCAGTACATTATGTACAAAGACCATAACACATGGGGACATTTTATTGACAGGAATAATGCATATCATACTGTTTGTGCGCCCTCATCATTCAGGTCAATTTCTTATGGAGGCTGTGTCCGGGGAGGCAGCTGGGGTCTCTCCACCCACACTTCCCTCTGTGTGTTTCTGAAGCGTTGTCCGTAACTAGGCAAGCTGGGGAGACTGTGGATGGGCAGCACCAGGGGGTTGGAAAGTGCATGGCTAAGGAGGGGGCCTTGTTGCTTTTGTATTATTGCTCAGTGTCACTGCTGCCAGTGTCAAGAAGAGCACATCACATGTCAAACCAGTGACGTTTCCAGGCTGGGAGCCACATGGAGTCCATCAGGCCCGCCGATAGCCACACAGTGGGTTTTCTGCTTGGTGCAGGAGCCACCCAGAGGCAATTCATATTCTGAACATTAACGTGGCTTTGCATGCCTGTCACACTTGGACTGTGCAAGCGGTTAATGCTATTGAAGACTTCGGTTTAAATCTCTATGCAAACAGTGATTACCTTGTAAGAAGGTTTCAGGATAACTTACAACAAAAGACTTTAAAATTATAGTTTTAGTAAAGCAAACTCATTTACATTTTTATTATGTGTGTCTTTTGTTTAAATCTTGCCACGTCCATTATGGTAGAGTCTTTTTCTTACGCAACTGAAGGTTATTGGGTAGCCAGTCTTTTTTTTTTCTTGTCTGTTTCAAAGCTATTGAAAACATCTGAATATCCTCTCTGATGGCGCCCTTGATGTGACTGCCACACTCTTCTTTAAAATGAAGATGTAACAGATTTTTAGAAGCTGGAGTCAAACTTTACCTCAAACTATAATACATCCAACTAAGCCTTGTGTCTATAAAGATATTAAATAATTCGCTGGGGAGGGGGAGGGGAAATCATGACATTTCTATGTATCACTTATTCTGCTCTAAAATAAAAGTGCTTGTAGTTGTTAAAAAAAAACAGGTAACTAAGATAAAGAGTGATTCTCAAAGCTTGCTACCTAGAATACTATAAATAAATTAGAGCTTTGAAAGCCATCTTCAGTCAAAGTGAGAAATGAAAAATCTCTAGCTACAAATGCTGAATAATTACTAACAAAAGTGATGAAACTCACTCCAAGACCCCAATATTTTTATCCTAATTAATAGAACTCTTACCCTTTGATTAATTTAAAAGATGTGTGAAGGTAAATGACTTGTTTGCCTGCATGATTCCCAATCATTTCAAAGAAAAAATGTAGCTAACATGTATTATATAAAGTTGTGATTCACTCCCAAATATGCATGTTTAAATTTTATTTTAGATTTTTAAAAGGGCAACTGAAATAATAAATCCTGATAAATTCGGCTATTATTTTGAGTTATATTTATATTTTTGTTTGATGGGAAAGTATATTTTTTTCTAGAAATGTTGGGTTCTTTTAATTAATAAGGTATAATTAATTATTATTAACTAGAAAAACTTGCCTATATCTCATAAATATCAACCGTTGTTTTCTTAATAAAGACCTCTCATATTTGAAGTCATTCATTTCTTGTCTGACATTATCCAATTCTAAATCACTTCAGAATATATTTATAGACTCAAAAGGCTTTTAAAATAACCCGTCCAGACCTTAATAGGCTTAAGAATTAGTTCCTTACCAGTGGCAGAATTTGAATATCAACAGCTGATGATTACAGGAGGGCCTATTATCATAAACTAAACAACCTAATTTGAATTAATCAGGTGAAGTGATGTGAAGAATTTAACATGATTTAAGACCTAAATACTACCCCTACTTCATTTTTTTTTATTGTCTTAGAGCAATAACTTGGGAAAATAGAACTGGTTAATTTCCTCATTCATCAATTTATAACTCATTCTTCTCTCAGATAATCTTTAGCTCTGGCTCCACCATCTGTTATAAAGAAGAACTGCAAGTAATTAACTATTCAGTGTCCTGAAGCAATGAGGACACTCATTAGCAAAATGAACAAAGGAATAGTTCTCTGTAGCTACAGTCATCTGTTACACTTTGAGTGGCAGGTTTTGTGGGAGTGTTTTTTCTACCATCTGCCCACAGCAGTAGTTTTTGGCTTGCTTAAACCAAGAGACTTTTAAATTAAATAGTGTAAGCAAAGCACAATTAGGAGGAAGGTGATCATTAAATGGTAGTTAACAAAATACATCCAGTCCTTTAAAACTACATTGTACAGTAAATGTCTATCTGTGCTGATCTATTATCAGTTTGAATTATTTAAAAATAAATGCATTTACACGATTGAAATGAAGATTTTCTATCACATGAGGCTGAGTACTTTGGGCACTTTTACAAAGTTTTGGTAACACTTCTGTTACCCCATAACCACGCCTTGAATATCTAGCCTGCTTGGCATATACGCCATTTCTCAACTGAGTCTTTGTGACATATGTAGTTTCCCCGGTCCTCAGCCCTTGAGGCCCCAAAACATCCCTGTGAGAGTGGGAATAACTTTAGGAAGCACAAGGACTACCTTAGGCCTTTCTGCATCTTCTCAGCAGCTTCTATCAGAGGGTGGAGGAGCAAGTCTGTCTCATCTCTGCAACTATCATGCCTAATATCTAGGCTTCTCAAAAAGATATGGGTCAGGGAGGGGCTGCCTGATGCCAGCCCACTGTCCCCTGACAGCCTCAGAGAAGAGCAGGTGCTTTCCTGGGGAAGTGACAGCCAGACACTGGGTAACACATAGAGGCAGTGCAGCCCTGGGGTGCTATCTCTCCTGAGTGACAGCTCTGTTTCAGAGGCATGCTCACCAAGGACGTGGGTGGGTGGGAGGGGGCTCATTTGCTCCTGTCAACATTTGGGGCAAAGAACATTTAAAGAAAAGATGCTCTAAACCAAGAGCACCGCTTGGGAGAGGACAAAGGCTAAGCGTTAAGATGCTCCAAGAGGAGGCCACTAGATGGCACAGTGGATAGAGCACTGGCCCTGAAGTCAGGAGGACCTGAGTTCAAATGTGGTCTCAGGCCAAACACTTGACACTTAGATGTGTGACCCTGGGCAAGTCACTTAACCCCAATTGCCTAAAAAAAAAAGTGTCCCAAGAGAAAAGATTATTTTATAATATAACTCTTCTCTTTTCTACCCATGCCCCACATATTCTTGGGGAACATTTGAAATCATTTAAGTCTAACCCCTTCATTTTCCTTATATTACCTGTCCAAATGAGACGAGGAGTAAATAGCATAGGGAGGATGTAAACTCACGGCCTCTAACTCCAATCCATCATAACAGGAAAGAGAAAATGGATATAAACTTGCTTCCTAAACTTTTCTTGGCCACTGACAACTCCCTGTACCTGTTCACTCTTTTTTTTTTAAATTTTTTGAGGCAATCAGGGTTAAGTGACTTGTCCAGAGACATACAACTAGTAAGTGTCTAAGACTGTATTTGCACTCAGTTCCTGCTGACTCCAGGGCTGGTGATGCTCTATCTGCTTTGACACCTAGCTGCCCCTGCCCATTCACTCTTACTGCATTTCCCCCCCTCCCCCACCAATAAAAAATCAAACCCCACACAAAAACCCACAAGAACTTTTCCAAAACAACGCAAAGCGGTGGAGCAGGTACTAATTAATGAGGGAATTCATCTTCTGTTACCGAAAGATGTTACTTCTTCTATTTGTTTTGTCAGAATGTGCCATTTAAAGAATTAGTTAATGTATCTTCATTTCCCAAAACAACTGTTGAAATACTGTTCTTAAAAATAAATCCCCCAGAAAAGTACATGTGAAAGATAATAAAGCTGATTGACACTAAGATTTTTTTAATATGATTTCATTACCAATGTCAGTAAAATATCATAGGTATTCCAGGGCTATCCCTGGTTTTACGGCAACTTCTACGAAGCAATTCTGCCCAAAAGTCCATCAGTTTCTCCAACTTCAGACACTAGGCACCTCTCTTTTTTTCACCACAAGGTGGGGCAATTGTATAAGGCGAAGTCTTCACTTAGTCCTCACTGATTTACCAGAATGTACTTCACTACAAGGCGCAGACTTTCTTAGGAGATTATTCCCAAAGGGTAGAAAGCATTTTCCCTTATGCTTTCTTTTCAGCACACGCATTTTTAAAAAGAGACATAGAGGCAGGGGGAATGTTCTTTTTTCTTTTCTGCTCTATATCACATTGTCATGAAATCAAACAAGATACAAGCCCCACACATCCCTGACCTGCGGCCATATCAGCCCTGGAAGGGCACCTAGGCCACCTGTCCCCCGCAAGAGGACTTTCTATATAACATACGCCCAAACAGTTTACCACTCTCACAATCTTTATACAATCTCAGTGTAATAGAGAAAAATCTAAAACATGGTCAGGAAAAGTGAACCAGTGATAAAAGACCTTTCCATTCCAATAGAATGTAAGCTCCTTGAAGGCAGGGGCCATTTTTCATTTTTGTCTCTCTAGCACAGTGTCTGGCACATACTAGGGGTTTAATAAAGGCTAGTGGATTGATTTGATTTTTTAATCCATTCAATAAATATCTGTTGAGTACCAACTATGGACAAAGCTCTATGCTAGAAACTGGGGGGAGGGGTGCTGGGAATGGTGGGGCATGGGGCAAAGAAGAGTGAAATGGTGTTTGGCCTTAAATATATGAATGGGAAGGGGATGAGAAAAGGGGGGGAATGGGGTTCTTCCGCCTCACGTGTTTTAAAAATCGCTTTTTGTCTAAGTCTCTCTTTCACCTACCTGCCACATACCTTATTTTACCTTGCTTCTTCCTTATTTGTGAAGGTAGCTTGCACACATTTATTCAGTTCTAAGTTCTATGGGGTCAGGAACACAGTTGTTTTCATCTTTGTATCATTTGCCACCTTGCATGGGGCCTGGAACATGTTTTAGCAAAGACCTCTGGGGTTAGACAGGGCCTCTCAGACTTAGGCATCATGTTCCTGATGCAAAATGGCTTCAACTCAGAGCTCCACTAAATTTCTCTAATGTGAAAGTCAGGGGCTCAGCCCTAGACATATCAATAAGATTATCCTCAGCCTCTTGACTATGATTGGCCTTGACTTAGTTTAAAGGACCAGGGATTACAAGATAAATCTGAATTAGCAATTGGGGTTCCTTAAGAAATCCAAGAGTGATGTTACTCATGTTCTTGACCTCAACCCTTCCTTGCTGGCTCAGGATGAGGACAGCTTTCTCGGTGCCTGGACTTTTAAATTTCTTTTCTTTCTCAGAAGGAAAATTGATGTCAAACCTCCTAGCCACTTCCTTTTCTCTTTCCTTAGACATCAATCCATGGTTTGAGCAGTAAGGCAACCTTTGACTTCTTCTGCATGAAGGGAAATTGGACAATCTATGAACTTCTTTTAAACATACTTTCATAATTATATTTCAATATATGACACGCTCTATAGGCTTCACCAGAGAGCTATGACACACAAAAAAAAGGTTAACAAGTCTTGCTTCAGAACTATTCTTAAGGCTCTTGGTAGGAAGTCAGTTGGTCAGTCAAAAAACATTTTGTAAGGGCTTACTCACTCGGTTCCTGCCCTCAAGGAGCTCATATTCATTGCATCTTTCAGAATCTCTAAAATAAAGTAGGGAGCTTCAAACTCTTCTGATTTAGGTCAAATTTAAAATTAAAAACAATGCCATTGGATCAGTTCTGCCCCCACCAAAAAAAAATTGTGTTTTTCCTCCATTTTTTCTTCTTTGATAGTTTTCTAGTTTGGAGTAGTTTTCCCCCAAGGGAAAAAAAAAATGGGGCACTTTGTTTTCATTCTAAATAGGAAATTGTTCATTTTGTATCTGTAAGATGGGGACACTAATGCCTTTAGTTCCTTCCTCCCAGGATTGCTGGGAAACTCAAATGAGAGCATAAGGAAGCTATCTGTAAACCCTAAAACACTAGCATAAATGTCCACGGTTCTTATGATGATTATGAAATTACTGCTGTTGTTTCTGAACTGGATCTTCTACAAGGTGCCTCCAAGATTAAAAAAAAGTACTAGCTTAATTCCTTCTATGACCTACAAGCTCTCTCAAGAGGGGTAATAATTTTGACCACACAAACTTTCCTCCCTCTGAAATTGAATCTTTTTGATATTTGCTAAAGATATTTTCACAATTAGCCCATACTTTCCCTTTCAACTTACCAATTTGGAAAACTTATTTTCTTTATAGGATGCTAATTGTTCCTGTAAATCTGTTATTATATCATTTTTCTCCATAAGCTTTCTTTTGAAAATATTTATATTCACTGAGGGTATTTTTGCAACTTCTTCATCTACTTCAAAGAAGTGCTGTTGGAAAAAAAAAACATCCAGAATCAAAAATAAAAATCAGACAAAATTAAGTAACAATATGGTCTTTTACCTCTGTGGTCCTTTTCTAAATGACTTAGTACTCCCAAGTATAAGTTTCTATAATTGTACCCCAAAGATTAGATGTTATATCTTCCAAAGCCAGCAATGTTGAGCATAGTACTTTCTATCCTAAAAGACATTAAGAAATTACGCACTAAAACATTTATAGAATGACATACATAGCATAGTTTGCCTTTTTGCTTGCATGGGTCATGAAAATATGGTTGTTATTGGGGGTTTTTTTGTTTTTGTTTTAATAAGGCAATTGGGGTTAAGTGACTTGCCCAGAGTTACACAGCTAGGAAGTATTATGTGTCTGAGGCTGAATCTGAACTCAGGTCTTCCTGACTCCAGGGCTGGTGATCTATCCACTGTACCACCTAGCTGACCCTGTTATTGGTTTTTTTTTTAAGCTACTTATTCATTATAACCAAGAGTTTCTTGTCTCATTTTCTCCACTGAGGGGTTGGCAGGATTTGAGCCTATAAAAAGATGGGGCCTCTGAATTTCAATAGTTTAATTATTTCTCCTTAGGTTTGCAACAGTGATAGGAAGTCTATGAGTTTGGGAAGAAAAAAGATTCCACTTACTTGGCATCAGCTGCTCAGATGCTCATGTGATTAGCAGCACATATATATTAAGTGCTGAAAAATAATACAAATGCAGTAGCTTTCAGCAAATGAAAACTGAATGTAGACACTGCCTTGTAAAGTAATACCATTCACTGTTGAAGTTTAAGGTTTTCATTTTAAAATAGAAAATTTTTCATTTAAACATTCTAAAGTTGCAGGATCATATATCATTGTTTCCCAGACCACATCATATGTGCAGACAGGTAAAATGTCTAAATTTTCTTCTGTAGGTTGTTACACCATCCTCAGTGTCAGGTAAGTAGCTCAGAGGCTTCAGAGGAAAAAAAGGAGGGAGTTAGGAGGGGCAGTATGGAAGGAAGAGACAGATTTTAAAAGTTTATGCCATACAGGACCAAACAACATTTATTAAGTACCTTTGGTATGAAATATACCATGATACCTGTTGGGAGAGATATAAAGTTTAGATGAGATAACCCTTGCCCTCATCAAGTTTACAAACTGAAGATGGCTCAAGAGCTCTACAGAGCTAGCACTTGTCAACTGAAAGCCAATCTAGTACTCTAATTGGTCTTTTTTGATGGAAGGAAGGAAGGAAGGGAAGGAGGAAGGAGTAAAACAAAGAAATGAAGGAGAGAAAAAGGAAAGAAGGCGAGAAAGATAAAGGGGAGGGAAGGAGAAAAAGAAAGAAAGAGAAGAAAGAGAAAGAAAGAAAAAAGGGAGAAAGAGAAGGGATAGGAAGGAGTGAGAAAAAAATCATTCAGTAAGCACTGCTAATACAAGTACAGTCCCTGCCCTCAAGAAGCTTACAATCTAATGGATGAAAATAATCCATATGGGGCATGCAATCCAGGAAGGAGTGTTTTGATCTGAGAAGTCATAAAGATGATAAGTGGAGACATGGGACAATTGAATGACATACCCTTTCTAGGAATGGTAATGTCGCTTTGATCTCTTTTCCTGGAAGAAGAACTCCAGGCACATGGGCATATGCATATATCATAGCCAGAGGATGGTTGGAATACTGGCAGGTTGGTCAGGGGCTAGCTAGACATGGTGAACTCTTATCAATCAGGAGATGACCAGCCTAGGACAAGAGCTGTTTCAAAGCCATCCCAGAGACAATGAGGTTGTCTGCACGTACCAACAGCTCGTAGTTAGTTATGCCTCCTATATCCCACTTTCTCTAAGTAACCAGCAGTACTCAAAAGCCACAGCAGTCTCAGGATGTATATAGTAAGGGATGTTTGGGGAAGGCTACAAACTATGCATCTGTGTCTGTGGCTGGGAATGGTCCATGGAGAATTCTGGAAAGAAAATGAGGGAGTGTCTGGTGCAGTGCCTGGCATACAGGAGGTATTTAATAAATGCTTGCTGGCTGGTTTGACTGATTAGATGACCTCTAAGATTCCTTTTCTAGCTATATTTTTCTGTGACTTATTGTTTATTATTTTCCCATTCTTTCATTATAATATTATAGCTATGTATATTAAAAACCCAAATGTAAGACAGTGAAATCTAATGACTTTGGTGATTCTACAAGTCCATCATCTAACTAATGTATGTACTCCTATGTGGAACATAATCCACCCATACTTTCTTATCCTGTGCATTTTTTCTTTTTTTTTTCCTCGCCCTCCCATAAATCTTGCATGGCTGATGTCACACTGTGTCCCCTCACTCACTTTATGTTCCACTGGCCTAACCTACTGTTTGCCCAGGTTGTCCCCTGTGCTTGGAATGCTCTTCCGCATTACCTCTCACTCACAGAATTCTTCTTTCCTTCAAAGCACTGCTCAGGTACATCCTCCTTAGCCACTGGTTCTCCATTTCTCCATTTCCCATTCTATTTCTCTCAGATGTCACTTTCTATTTACTTCACATACATTTTGTGTATGCTAGAATGTAAGCCAATTGAGGGTAGAAACTGGTTTCTTATCTTTGCATAATTTCTTGCAACTAGTAGGCGCTCAATAAATGCTTGACCACTTGAATTGATTGATACCCTAGAAATCTTCCTCTCCTCTTCACCTTATGTGGGTACCAGTGTCTCCCTCAGGCTGCCCATTTTGTTAGCTTCTATCTCAACATGACAGGCTCTATTTCATTCTCTGATCATCGATTTCTTTGAGAATCACAGGATGGAGAAGAAAATTGGGGCATAGCAAACAGACCTCCGAACCTGGACTCAGGAAGAGCTGTGTTCAAAATACAGCTCTAACCCTTAGCAGTTGTGTGACCAATTCACATGACTGCTCTCTGCCTCAGTTTTCTCCTTTGTAAAATGGGGAGAATAATATAGGTAGTACCTCCTTTAGAGAACTATTGTGTGGCTCAAATGAGACACAATGTTTGTAAAGTGCTTTACAAACCTGAATATGCTAATGATTACTTTTATGAGATCATAGATACAAACCTGATAGCAAACTTGGAAGTCTAGTCTAATACTCTCATTTTATAGATGAGGAAAGGGAAGCTCAGAGAGGTTAAGTAATTTTCCCCAGGTCACACAGGTATAACGTAGTATAGCCAGAATCTGATCTCCCCTCCTCACTTTCCCCTGCTCCCCACCTCCAATCTAGCACTCCATCTACTGAGCCACATGCATTTCATTTTTATAACATCCCTGGTAATATGCCGCGGCTTGCTTACACCCATCAGGAGAGCCCTCTGTGCCTTTTGGTTTCAGTCTGATACTTTAGAGATTGTGGTGGACTTGTAGCATCCTCAGGATGAGACTGATGCCTAAAAGGTGGCTAGGCAGGTTCATTTTAATACAGACTTTTAAGAAGTCTGACACCTGTTAAATACAATCTACAGATTCAAGATAGCATACACAATGCTTTTCTGCCGTTCTTTGTATAAGGAAATGTTCTTACTTGTTGATATTTTTCAAGTTTGTAATGATAAGAAAGAAGATATTTTTTAAAAGATGGGTAGCTAGGGTTGTCGAGAGTGTTTTGGAATTTCCCAGAGGAAAGTCCCTTTCCTTCGACTCAAATCTCATTACATTTGCTAATTTGCCAGATATTAAATTTGAAAAATCAGATCCATATATTAATCCCAAAGAATACTCTCAGTAAACTGAGAAAGATAATCTTGGATTAAAATAGAATTAACTAGTTAATCAGGCAGAAAACTTAACACCTTTACTATCCTAGATTGCCAAAACGTGGTGGCGGTTGCTGTTGCTTTAAAGCAGTATTTGAATATGCTAATGACACTGCATTCAAAGCATGATCAAACAAACTGGGGGGGGGGAGACGGGGGAGGGAGGCGGGGTGCTGAGGGAGGCAGGCACCTGCCCTCAAACAATCTCAGGCTTCCTGGCTCCCAGAATAAAGGAAAGTGAAGTCCCAAGATTTAAGAGAGAGGACCTTCCCCTTGACCTGTAGCCCAAATATTATGAGGAATACAATATGATCCTTCAATATGATGAAACTCTCAACTCTTCTTTTTAAACAATTTTGAAAACAAATGGAGTTAAATCCAGATTAAGAAACTGTCATGGAAAATCCATCCAAGTCCAGAATATCGGGAGAAATAGTAGCTAGAAATTGTCCAAGAAAGAAAAATTCAAGAGTTAGTAGTATAAAATGTACCCTCGTGGGTGCTGGTTGGGTGACAAAGTTTCCACGATACAAAACTCTTAATCTCTATACTGTAACACATAATTGACTATATCATTCCTGCCAAATGACAAGTGTACCTGAGTTAGCAGCAGGAAGTCATAGGGTCATGGATAAAGCTGGAAGGGATCTCATAGGCCAACTACTCCGTCCCCCTTATTTTATAGACAAGGAAACTGATGCCCAGAGAGGTGAAGAGGTGTCCGTGGTCAAGGAAAAGGTCACCAACTGAACCCTACCTCCTAAATGCCTCTGTGAGTTTTATTATAACTTCAAAATAATTTGCACTGGTGCTCTGTGCCCCAGTGGCTGGGGATAGATGATGGGAGTTGAGAAGAATTTCCTGCCCCAACCTAAATATAAGGAAACCGTGAGTGACCTCCTTCCTATTCAGAAGAGGGGGTGTGAAGGTGCTTGCAAAAAACAAAAACAAAACAAAACTTTCTTGTGCTAACTGGATGCAGTAGTGGGCTTGACTAACAAGAGTTGGAAAAGTGACAATTAGATTTAGGCTAATTAATTAATTAATCTAACAAAACTCTCATAACCCTCCTTTTGAGAAAGAAGAAGCCCCAGCTGGACAGCTCAGTGGAGAAAGCTAATAATAGCAAGTGTTACACAGGTATGTTGAAAACACCTGCGGGGCAGCTAGGTGGTGCAATGGATAGACCACCAGTCCTGGGGTCAGGAGGAACTGAGTTCAAACATGACCTCAGACACTCGACACTTACTAGCTGTACGACCCTGGGCAAGTCACTTAACCCCAATTGTCTCACCAAAAAAAGCAAAAAAAACCCAAAAAACAAACCAAACACCTAGAAGAAGGGCTTCTGTACGTTGAATGGACCTCCTTTTTAAAGAGTCCTAGAAGAATGCAGACAAGAGCTATGCAGCATGAAAAGGCATGGATAAATTAGTCTGCATTACTGCAATGAGTACTCATATATATAAGATCACAGCTCCATTAAAATATTAAAGTATGTTCGTCTTCAGTTTTAAGGTCCTAGAGTACAGAGAATAGGGGTCAAGCCAAACGATCCTCTTTATACAGTTCCATGTCATAACTTTTGTTGTTGTTCAGTTGTTGCAGTGATGTCTGACTCTTTGTCCATTTGGGGTTTCCTTGGCAAAGATATTGGAATGGTTAAACAATTCCTTCTTCAGCTCATTTTACAAATGAGGAACTGAGGCAAACAGGTTTAAGTGCCATGCCCAGGGTCACACAGCTAGGAAGTGTATGAGGCCAGTAGATGCTTATTAGTCCTATTTTATAATTGATCATACTAAGGCAACTATAGGGTAAGTGACTTACCCAGCCTCACACAGCTAGCAAGTATCTGAGTCAGAATTTGAATTCAGGTCTTCCTGACTCCAGGCTATCCACTGCTGCCACCTAGTTGTCTTTCATGTTGAATCAATGATTCAATCAAAGATATTGTTGTTCATCCTTTGTTCTAGAAGACCAATGAGGTCATGAGGGTGATATCTTAACTTTGAGAGCACTGGATTTCAGTGAGGCAGAGCTGTGCAAAGTCATCAGCCTCACTCTCTCCTCCAAAGTCATTGGAGTTCAGTGGCAAGACAAAAGTCAAGACAACTGGCGATGGCCCAGGATGCAGTGGGAGACCTTGGCCTTTCTAGGTTAAGGTCTTTCCCAGGTCTCAGTTTGTCTGAGGCAATGCCCATTCAACGACTAAGAGCTAGGTAAGAATTGAGGCAAAAGATGGCCTGGTTTACCAGCCCAAAAGTATCCGTCTGAGAGGGGAAGAAGCTCAGAGTTTCTGGCCAGAACAGAAAACAATCACTATCAAAACTATAAACAACATTTTTACTGTACCAATCAATCAAAGGGATAAACTAAGTGGGGGAAAGTACTTAATATGGGAGGAGTGAAGTGCTTCTGAGCCATCTGGATTAGTTGAAAGAATGAGACACAATTCTGGGCTTATATATTTCAGAGAAGGCATTCCAACAGGAAGTTACTTAAATTTCAGGAGTGCATTGAAGAGGTACACCCTTGTACTGCCATAAGAGGACCGCAGGGAAAGAGAAAGGAGCCCAAAGAGATTGTTAAAGTCTCCCCCTTTCTGTACTCCCCTCCCCCAAGGCCCCTTCATCAGACAATGAAAGGGTAAATGATTTTGAGTTTCTGTCAGAGTTTGTAGCAATGTCGATAAACAGGTAGCCGAAGGCAGGGTCTGCATTGGAGGTTCAGAGACACATTGAAGACAAACTATTCTGCTGAAAGAAGTATCTTCAGGACCCCTCAAGGGCACTAACTCTCCATCCTCAGAGCCTAGCAGAGAGCAACACCTAAGGGGAAGGTCATGGACTCCATGAGGGAGGGAAGGACTTCCAGTAACAAAGAGCTGTGAATTATTCTTTGACATGCACTCTCCTCTCTAAACTTGAGCCCACTTTCTGCTGTGCTTTGTATGTACTTGGGGAAGAGTTATGTCCCAGCCTTTGGGGGTGGGGGGGCCGGTGGTCCCTGCTAGACTGGCTCAGTAGGTATCTTTTTTTTTTTAAGGTAATGAAGTCTGGCTGGCTAAATGACCATCAATGGGGGACACGGCTGATGAGGACTCATGAGCAACATCACAAAAAAACCCCCCAAAACCCCCAAAAAACCTTTACCCCTTAAGGGTTGAAGTAATTGTCATCCTCTAGGGACCCAATCTACTAGTACTAGTGGAAGTTGGTGAGCGGCTCCAGAGGGGGTGCCATATTTATATTAATCATTTCAAATGAATGATATAATGATAAAGTAGCCCTGGAGCGGTACGCTTACTTATGCTGAACATTTCAGATCGACAACGTCTAGCTCTTACCTCAGTATCAAAATGCAATTCATAAGAATTATAATGAGATGGGGAAAAGTTTTAGAGAGCACCTGGTCCAACCCTCTAATTTTACAGGAAACAGAGGTTTAGAGAGGTTAAGGCCCTTGCCCTTTGCCACCCAGATAATAAGACTTGAACCCCAGGTCCTACCACTCCAAATCCAATTCTTTCCACTATATCAATTCAATTAAATTCAGTTGCACAAGTATTAATTAATTTAGCACCTACTGTATGTAAGTATTTAGCACCTACTATTACATATGTAATGTTGCCATGCTGATAATCACTAATAGCCTTAGAGTTATCATGCCATAATACATAAATAGACAGAAGGCTAGACCCAAAGAGATGGAAGAGTATGGGACAAGGATAAAGCTTTCTGTGACTGAAATTAAGAAGGATCCACACATTGACTGCTGACAAAAATAAAGACCCAAACCTTTTAGAAGTAACCCACTCAAAACAAAAAAAAAAGAAAGAAAGACAAGTAACCTTTTCTATAATATGCTTTAGAAACAGTTTCCTATTCAAGAATGAGGTGATTGGTTACCTTATGTTGAAGAAAGCAGGCGAGTTAACATATAACCAACGAATCTGTCACATTGAGGGGACTGTGCTGTGAAAGTAGGTTGAAATGACAAAAGAAAATGTTGTAAGGGTGAGCACAAATAGAAGGATGATGGTCCTCATAGAAGAAAAGGAGCCAGAGAATAAGAATCTACCAGTACTGTCCAAGGGAGGAAGATATCACATATAACAGAAAGGAGTAGTGCAGGAATATTGTGCTCTGTTATAGTGATAGAGATGGGGCTTGGGATCTCACTGGTAAAGGGCATTCCTGGATGAGGAAACCCCTCTCTACCAAAGCAGGCACCTTCTCTGGAACTCAGAGTCTTAGAGAGCTGATCAGATCATTGGGAGAGCAGATGACTTGTCAAGCCTCCAGGATATGTAACCATATGGCAAGTACATATCAGAGGCTCTTCCTGGCCCTGAGGCCAGCTCTCCATTCATAGTACCATGCTGTCTGGCCTAGATGAAATATCTAGATGCATCTGGATGACTAGGTCAATAGTGTCCTGGCCTTAGGAGCTGAGTTCAAATCCTGCCTCACATGCTTACTTGCTGTGTTACCCTGAACAAGTCACTAATTTCTCCCAGCCCCAGTTTCTTCATTTGGGAATGAGATAATAAGGGGGGATTATAATGTCACCTCCTTATAGGGCTGCTGTGAGGATAAGATGAGATAACATATAGAAAGTGCTTTGCAAACCTTAAGGTGTAAATGTTAGCTATTAAATATCCCCCATGATCATTTAATTTCTTTAACCTTGTGCCATGTTCAACAAAGAACCTTCTGATTAGGGCCAGCTAGGTGGCACAGGGGATAGAAAGCTGGGCCTAAAGTCAGGATGGACTGAGTTCAAATCCATCTTGGGTCCCTTACTAGCTATGTGACCCTGGGCAAGTCACTTAACCTCTGTTTGCCTCAGTTTCCTCATCTGTCAAACGGGGATAATAATAGCACTTACCTCTCAGGGTTGTTGTGAAGATTAAATGAGATAATAATTGTTAAAATGCTTAGCACAGTGCCTGGCCCATAGTAAGTACCCTATAAATGTTAACTATTATTATTATAATTATAATTACTGATTCAGTTTCCCATGAATATTTATACAAGAAAAGGGGCAATTTAGATAGCAGACATTCATTTACTGGCAGACATATCTGCCACTACACATCAATAAATTGATTAAGTTAATAATCATAGGGTCGGATTGCTGCTGGGTTAATTTTAAGATGGCAGGCCCGGAAGTAAAAGACCTGGAATTCAGGTCCCCTAACTGAAATGGAGTGCCACTGGAAACATTCCATGACGACAAAACCTACCAAATATGCCCCTCTGATAGTAGCAATGGCATCACACAGCTGCTTATAGAAGCTTTTTCTCATTGTGTCCTCATTCTGCAATTCAAATGCAAATGAAATTATTAGTACATCCTAACCATACCCACTAGGATAATTTTCATAATATACAACTGTTATTTACATTATTCCAATCAACTGGAAGCTTCTAACCGAAATCACTTTTCTTCATAATATTCTCTATACCACATCTATTTCTTTTTTTTAATTTAATTTTTTTTTTAGGCAATTGGGGTTAAGTGACTTGCCCAGGGTCACACAGCTAGTAAGTGTCATGTGTTTGGTCTGAGGCCAGATTTGAACTCAGGTCCTCCTGACTTCAGGGCCAGTGCTCTATCCACTGTGCCACCTAGCTGCCCCCACATCTGTTTCTAATACATCTAATTCTTGATCATATATAATCCAAGAAGACAGGGACTATATGGGTAAAGAAAGTCCACAGCTAATTCTGAAATTTCATTCTAGGCAATAGTTTAAACTATCTTCCCTAAACCTCTTGATAGAGCTGCTGGAAATATAACAAAGATCCATCTGAATTTCCTATCATCTCCTTGCCCCTCTCTTTTGCCATAGAGGCACCATACACAGCAAAATGTTCAGCAAGAAGAATGTGGGAAGACAGAGGTATAACACATAAACTGGATAAGCAACTCCTGCTTGGTCAAAAGTTAGATTATATCTGCTTTTATCATAATTAAAACTGCATTAAAAATAAAATGATCAAGAATCTTATTCCAATTCAAGATGGCAGCTAATGTCAAATTCTGGCTACCCTCTGTTCTAGAGAGGATGCTCTTGTGAAGCCAAGGTCTTGGAAACTTCCTCAAAGAAGGATAGTCATTAACACTGCTCTCTCTGGCTCTAGCCCAGTCATAGAAGAGCACCCCAAGGCACAGAATGGGGACCTCATATATGCAAATCAACTGGTTAGCCTTATTCGGTTTATTCATAATAGCACTAAATAAACAAATAACCAACAAGACAAACTTATCTAATCAGAATAGGGATGATCAGAATTGCACCTTTTCATGAAGAGCTACTATTTCCTCAATAATCATTTGTAGTTCTTTATAGAGTTTATTGGATTCTTCTTTCAGGCGGTCCTCAAATTGCATCTGGAGGTACATTTTGAGATATTTAAAATCTCGTTGAAGGAGAGTAGTAAGCTAAAAAAAAATAAAGTATGTATTATTAGATGCAGATAGGAACATCTCTAGAAAAGATTTTAAAGTAGACTAACTAGGTATTTGCCACACCGTCCCCTCATCCCAGTCTCCTAAGCTGAGAAACCCATTACAATAAAAACAATAATAATTGGTATTTATATAGTTCTTTAAGGTTTCCAAAACACTTAGAAATATTATCTTATTCTGTCCTCACAACAAACATGGATGCTATCATTATGCCCATTTTATAAGTGAGGAGACTGAGGCAGACAGAGGTTAAGTGACCTTCCCTGTGCTAAGAGATATATCCCTCCTTCCTTGTCTTTCATGATGATATAATTACTGAATCATAAGATTACAGATTAAGACCTGGAAGGAATCTTAGAGGTCATCTAGTCCAACTCTTTCATTTTACAAACAAGGAAACTGAGGCCCAGAGAAGTTAAGTGACTTGGTCCCAATTACAAAGGCAAATAAATGCCAGTAGGATATGAACCCAGGACATGATTGCATAGCACTTCATATTAATGTGGTGCTTGACTATTACAAAGTGATTTACAGATTTTGATCTCATTTAACAATCAACAGCCCTGTTATTGAGTGAAAATTAAGTGCTGAAAATACCATAACCGTTTTCTCCTCCCATTTTACAGATAACTAGGAAACCCATGTTCAGAGATTCTAGACAGGTTATACAACTAGTAAATGGTTAGCCAGAACTCAAAACCAAATCTAATTCCATCTATCAGGCTTTCCCTCCTCCCCTTACAGCTTCTCTCTTTACTTTGTTGGCATTCCATGTTCCCATGCCAACCCCACTCCCTCCCATCTTCTTCATTAAAACTTAACTATTCTTTATCCCATTTCCCTCAGAGTCAAGCAGACTGTCTTCCAAGGACACAATTAATTCATTTGATAAACTAATATTTACCAATTTCAAAAGGCTAAAGTGATTCTCACTACTCCCCCCCCACACACACACTGCTCATTGAAAATATCATTTGAATGATAGCCTTTTAATTTTGCTCTTCCCTTTCTTGGCTATCCCAAAAGAATGATTTTTATGGTATGAATTTCAGGCTACAAAGGCAGGAAAGACTGTCATGGTGGACCAATGGAAAGATATTTAAAGGCAGATGGGTTCCTGCAGCAGTAATAAAATCACAGTGTAGAAGCAACCAACTACTCCATCTACTTGTAGTGCTTTTTCTGGGGACAAGACGTACTTGACCTTTCTAATACTCCTGGCAAAGTTTTATATACAAAAATAAAGATACCAGTATCCTGTATAGGCATGGGGTGTGTGTGTGTGTGTGTGTGTGTGTGTGTGTGTGAGAGAGAGAGAGAGAGAGAGAGAGAGAGAGAGAGAGAGAGAGAGAGAGAGAGAGAGAGAGAGAGAGAGAGAGGATTCAGGTCTGATCACATTTCATATCATCCGTGATTAATTCTGTTTACTCTCAGTACTACAACTAAAGAGATAAAGTAATCTTTGGTTTAAAAGGCAGAATTGACCCAATAGCCTTCTCCACGGGCTTGCTATAGTGAGCAGGAACAATGTTTTTACCTTGTCCTAACTTCCCCATTGAGATGCCAGAAAAAAAAAGAGAAAAATAAGTGGGTTAGTTTGTGACCCACTGGAACAGTTTCAGGGACTGAGTCTTAGTGTACTGACCCATGGCCTTAAAGGCTGGACCTAAAGTGAAGGACCTGAGATGAGTCTCAGTTAAACATGTTTCATGGAATTTTGAAAATAATGGGCAAAGTTGTAGTAATTCTCCTGTAGGGAAAGGGATCACACAGGAGACAGAGCTGAAAGGAACATTAGAGATCATTCAGTCCTTCTTTCATTTTGCAGACAGGGATACTGAAGCCCAGGAAAGTTAAGTGACTCAAGGTCATAGAGTTAGCAAATAGCAGACACAGAATCAGGTCTCTTGACTTCACATTCAGTGATCTTTCCACTAAGGAGAAATGTAACTCAGATGAGTATGTTTGCTTCTTGTCAGCAACTCTCTTAAGGCTTTTGGTCAACAAGAAAGTAGGAACTTTGTTGCTTCAATGGATTCATGATTTCAGCAATGTGTTTTAAACTGACCTTTATAGACATGCATGAACTGAAGCTGAGTGAAGTGAGCAGAACCAGGAGAACACTGTACATGGTAACAGCAACATTGGGCGATAATCAATTTTGATAGACTTAGCTCTTCTTAGCAATACAATGATCTAAGACAATTCCAAAAGACTCTTGATGGAAAATGCTATCCACATACAGAAAAAGAACTACAGGGTCTGAATGCAGATCAAAGCATTCTATTTTCACTTTTTAAAAATATTTTTTCTTTCTCGTGGTTTTTCCTTTCTGTTCTGATTCTTCTTTTGCAACATGACTAATGTGGAAATACGTTTAATATGATTATATATGTATAACCTATATCAGATTGCATACCATCTTGGAGAAGAAGAAGAAAAATTATTGGAACTCAAAATCTTACAAAAGTGAATGTTGAAAACTGTCTACATGTAATTGGAAAAAATAAAATACTATTCCATGGGGGGGAAATAAAATTTTCTTTATGGGTTTTAGTTATACAAGTAGGTTCCATTTATAAATGTGTTCTTCACTCTTCTCCAAATAACATGTTTGCAAGTAAGTATTTTGATATAAAGCTAGAGATATATAGGTATATGTTGGACAATGAATCGATCAACAGCAGTCATTAAGCTGTGTGGTAGGCACCATGTGAAATGCTATTGATACAAGTACAAAGAATGAAACAATTCCTAATCTCAATCTCTTTTAATGGAGAAGGCAAAAAGTACATATACAATCATAACAAACAAAAATATAAAGAGAATAAATACAAATGAATCAAAAATAGCTAAATATAAGGTAGGTGGGGATGTAGGGCAAGTCAGTTAATTTCCCTGGGGCTCAGTTTTCTCATCTTTATGGTCTCTGTGTTCACTTCCAGCTCTAGAACTATAATCCATAGATATACACATAGGTGTATGGATATACATATGAATATGCTTCAGGTTCAGTCTTTTTTTCCCTACATATAATTGAGTAAATTTCCACAGATGTATGACAAATCCCAGGGAGAAAAACAAGACTGATACTTCATTGCACAAGTTAACATATATTAATATTAATGGAAGTTAAGTGTATTCAATGATGAAATAACCATCGCCGAAGTTTAATTAATGCTGCCAAGAGCTGCTGAATGTCATTAAAAGGAAAAAATAAAACAGTATATTTCAAGAAACACAGTCAATGAAGAATACACAAACTAAGACAATAAGGATCTGAAAGCATCGAAATAATTTAAAAGAAAGTCAAGATATTACCTTGACTAGTTTTTGTGTTGTGTCACTTAGCTTTTTTATTTCCAATACTTCAGTGACATCTGTTTGAGTAGCACGATCTGTTTTGAAATAGCCTATTTTTAAATCATCTGAAATGGTCACCCTGGAGGAAAGACAAACAAGCCGTCAATATGGTGACCATTGCTTTCTATAAAATGTGGGCTGCTGAAAAGCAATGTGTGCCCTTTTTTTGTAAGCCAAATCACATTTTAAATGTACCAGGAAGGGAGATGTTCTCTGACACAAGAGTCCTATGCCAATGTCTCATCATTGCATGGATGTCACTGATCCTGTGTTCTCAAGGCCTTATCTCCCTGAGGCACAGGCTCTGAAAGGCCAGGCTGGAAAGAACTTTGTAAAGGACTGTGTCTTCTACCCGACGACCATAGTAGGCAAGTAGGAGGAGATTTAAACAGGTTCAAGTCAATTAAACCAACATTCATTTAGTGCCTACTACATGCCAGGCACTATGCTAAGCACTCAGGATGCAAAAAGAGGCAACAAATAATCCTTGCCTTTCATGGAGCTTATAATCTAATGGGGAAGACAGCATGCAAAACAATGTACACAAAGCAAATTGTAGACAGCGTAAGCAGGAAATGACAGAGAAACTGCCCTGGGATTTTAGTCGGGACTTAAAGGAAGCCAGGGAAGCCAGCAGTTGGAGTGGAGGAGGGAGAATGTTCCAGGCATGAGGGATAGTCAGAGAGAATACCGAGAACTGAGAGATGGAGCGTCTTGCTCATGGAATAGCCAGGAGGTCAGTATCACTGGATCAAAGAGAATGTGTTGGGGAGTAAGGTGTAATAAGACTAGAAAGTCAGGAGAGGGCTTGGTTATGAAGGTGTTTGAATGCCAAACAGAGCATTTCATATTTGTTCTTGGAGACAATAACAAGCCGCTGGAGTTTATTGAGTAGGGAAATGATACACTATTTGGCTACAGTAATCTGGGAAACAGATAAATGGAAAATGGTCCTTGATCCATCTCACATCTATCAGACTGGCTACAATCATGATTAGAAGGGGAAAGTGACAAATGTTGGAGGGTGTGTGGAAAAAACTGGGACACTAATACACTGTTGGTGGAATTGTGAACTGATCCAACCATTTGGGAGAGTAATCTCGAATTATGCCGAATGAGTTATAAAACTGTGCATACCTTTTCATCCAGCAATATCACTATTAGGTCTGTTTCCCAAGGTGATCAGGAGAAAACCTGTAGCATTTGTGGTGGAAAAGAACTGGAAATTGAAAGGATGCCCATCAATTGGGGAATGGCTGAATAAGTTGTGGTATACGGTTTTGATGAAATACTACTGCGCTGTAAGAAATGACAAGTGGGGGGGGGCGCAGCTAGGTGGCACAGTGGATAGAGCACTGGCCCTGGATTCAAATCCAGCCTCAGACACATAACACTTACTAGCTATGTGACCCTGGGCAGGTCATTGAACCCCATTGCCTAGCCAAAAAGAAGAAATGACAAGCAGGTTGATTTTAGGAAAACATGGAGAGTTGCATGAAATAATGAAGAGTGAAGCAAGCAGAACCAATAGAACATCATATATAATAACAGCAATATTGTTTGGAGAATAACTGTGAATGGCTAACAGAGTCTGAGTAACATGCATATTCAAATCAACTACAAAGGACTCATGAAGGAAGATGTTATCCACCTCCAGAGAAAGAACTGATGTATGAAGTATGTATTGGGTGATTTCACAGATTTATCTGTGTCAAATGTTGACCTTCTCTAGTGAGGGGTTGGGAGGGAAGGAGGGAGACAGATTGGAGCTCAAAATGTCACAAAAAAATAAAATAAATATATTTTTAAATGGTCCTTGATGCTGTGTGGGCTCTTTGCTGCTTTCACAGTGATGGTTGCAGAGTGGGAGAAGACTTAGCAGTATATCCTCATATAGTTTTAGACTGACTAAAAATATTAATTTAGTTGTTAGTTCTGAAAGGAGAGGTTTTCATCATCAAGAGGAATAAGACCACATCCATGCTGACATTTCTTGCTATAAAAGAGACCCAAAAATATAAAGACCCTGTAGCCACAGGGATGGATGGCTCACTCAAAGATAAATAAATAAATGAACAGACACAAGAAACTTAGAAAACATGCTTGTTGAAGACATGGGAAAAGTAGTTGGGAGGCAAGAGGGTGAGGAAGAATCAGAATCAGAAAGGAATCGTGGTGGGAAACCAAGCAAGCTAAAGCATCCCAAAGGCATTTATAAATGAAAGTAACTATACACTTTTTTTTGGGGGGGGAGGCATAATTCCAGACAAACAACTATATATGAAATGGACAACATCTGCCAGTTTCTATAGTAATCTCTTCTTCATATTAATGACTCCAGGCGTGGCATTCTGTCTACTGTACCACTTAGCTGATGGATGGATGGATCAACTGATGATTCACCGGCAAGAATCACATGGGATGGGAATGGGTTGCAGTATTCACTTGGAGAGGGAGAATCCATACTGATAAGATCATGGATCCATGTTCATTAAGGGGGCTTATTAAAGGAGCCCTGAAGTTAGTCATAGATCATAGGCTAGAGACCATAAAATTTAAGGTTGGAGTAGAGAGAATAACATCATCAATTCCAACTTCCTCATTTTACAGTTGAGGATACTGAGTTTAAGTAAACTGCTTAACATTCTCACAGTGATTTTGTAGCAGAGGGCACATTTGAACTTGGGACTTCTGACTCCCAGTTCAGGATTCCTTATACTGCAATAAGACCACCCCCAAATTTATGTATTTTGTAAATTGGGAATCTCCATATTTTAAGTGTTTTGAAACATGGGGCACATGTGAATAGAATTTTTGGGAAATTTGGGAAAGCCTATTAAGGTATATGTATATACAATTAAGACAGGCAAGCTAAGGCTAAAAAACTTTCAGATTACAATACAAATAATAATAATAGCTAATACTTACATAGTACCTACTGAATGCTAGGCACTATGCTAAAGATTTACAAATATCATCTCATTTGATCCTCACAACCACCCTAGAAGAGAGGTGCTATTATTATCCCCATTCAACTGATAAGGAAACTGAGGCAGACAGTGGTTAAATGACTTGCCCAGAGTCAAACAGGTAGCAAGTGTCTGAGGTGGGATTTGAACTCAGGTCTTCCTGACTCCCAGGCCCAGTACTCTGTGCACTGAAATGTCACCTTGCTGTCTCTTAAAAACACTCAGAAGGCTATCCAAATATCTTATCAGCTTTTACCATGATTAAAAATATTGTATATTGGTTCTAATTCTTACTTACAACATCATTAATGTGAAAATATGTTTAATAGGAATGTATATGTATAGTCTATATCAGATTGCATGCTGTCTTGGGGAGGGAGGTGGGGAGGGAAGGGGAGAAAAATTTAAAACTTAAAAGCTTGTGGAAGTGATTGTTGATAAATCAAAATAAATCAATTTTTAAAATATTACAAAGATAATATGTCTAATAGCCTAGATGGAAAAATGCCTGCAAATATGGTAGTAATGGCAGTTATCTTTTGGTAGTAACAGGAAATAGTACTAATGAGTAAATCTTAATTCAAATGAAATTTTCTGCTTTTCCAGAGCATAATTTTTTTAGAGCCCTAACCTAATTAATTTCATATCCTGAGCTTAGGAACCCCTAAGCCTATGTGCATGGCTGAACAAAAATAACTTAGAGCATCATTAACAGAAACTCCAGAGATTAATGACTAACGAGAAAACACTTTATTTATTCTAAAAATGATTGACAGTTTGAGGCTACACTCTTTTTTCTGATGACCCCGACCATCCATGGTAGTAAGACCATCATCTACCTGTCTATAGCCAGAAAATGCTTTACCCAGATTATCTAGTTTATCTGATTTGATAAAATGCTCTTTGCAAAGTGCTTTTGAAGAGGCTTTAAATGATCCTCTGGTCCAACACTTCATTTGACAAATGATGAAACTGAGGCCCGAAGAGGAGAAACAATTTATTTTTTTTTCTGTTGTTGTTGTTAGGCAATGGGGTTAAGTGACTTGCCCAGAGTCACACAGCTAGTAAGTGTTATGTGTCTGAGGCCGTATTTGAACTCAGGTCCTCCTGACTCTAGGACCAGTGCTCTATCCACTGTGCCACCTAGCTGCCCCAACAATTTATTCTAAAGCACAAAAGAGTAAGCAACAGAAGTCCTAAGTGCAGGCAGCTAGGTGGCACAGTGGATAGAGCACCGGCCCTGAAGTCAGGAGGACCTGAGTTCAAATTGGCCTTAGACCAAACACTTGACACTTACTGGCTGTGTGACCATGGGCAAGTCACTTAACCCCAATTGCCAAAAAAAAAAAAAAGAAGTCCTGGTCTCCTCTATGACAATGCATTATCACCATAATATTGTATGGAAAAACAACTTTGACAGTCTTACCAACTTGGATCAAGGCAATGACCAACTATGATTCCAAGGAAGTGATGGTAACAAGGTACAGAAAGAGAGGACAGGCATTTTTGGAAATGGCCGTGGGAATTGGTTTTGCCTGACTGCTTGCAACAAAGGTCTCTCTCTCTCTCTCTCTCTCTCTCTCTCTCTCTCTCTCTCTCTCTCTCTCTCTCTCTCTCTCCCTCCCTCTCTCTCTCTCGCCCTCTCTGTCTATCCCTTCCTTCAGAATAAAAACATGCTTTAAAAACAAAAACAAATGCTATTATCAATATTATATTTTTTAAGATTATGACATGGGAGTCAGAATAAACAAGTGCCTGTCTGATGTTAGAAAAAATGTGTTTCAAAACACTCTATGATACAAACTATCCTTGCAGTATATGTATATATGTGTGTGTGTGTACTGCTACAGAAAAACTAAAAAATGTGGATGTTTGTTTTTTAGAGTGAATTTATTAGAAAATGTATAAGTGAAAAAAAAATGTTCAATTTCTTCCATGACTGATATGGGAAAAATTTCAATGTGAGACATCAACAGTTATTTTACTTCAATGTAAGCAAATGTAAGCATCTCCCAAACCCTCAAAATCAACCTGGAAAAAACATTACAATATATCAAAGTTGACAGCTATTAGATCTCAGTCCTTCTAGAATCCTAACATGTTCCCTTGG